CAGACAGACAGACAGACAGACAGACAGACAGACAGACAGACAGACAGACAGACAGACAGACAGACACACACAGACACAGACACAGACACAGACACAGACACAGACACAGACACAGACACAGACAGAGACAGAGACAGAGACAGAGACAGAGACAGAGACAGAGACAGAGACAGAGACAGAGACAGAGACAGAGACCGACATCTATACGTACAGACAGACATACATACATACATGCATGCATGCACGCATGCATGCATGCATGCATGCATGCTTACATGCATACACACATAAAACAGTGGGTGGGTGTGCATGTCTCTATTGGCACATCGTTCCTTACCACTTCTGCAGCAAGGAGGAAAGGGAAGCCGAGATCTCCAATTCTCCTGCTTTGAGGGCTTTGGTCCTTTTTAGGGTTTAGGGGTTTGGGGGGTGCAAAGCGCGGATACAAGTCTTTCCCAGTAGAGTCGATGCAGAAGAGGTGGGGTCTACAGATGTTTAGGATTTCGGGGTTAGGGTTTAGGAGTGGGCTTTGGTCCTTCTACAGTCCTCCTTTAATTAGGACTGGGGGTAACTTGTATGTATCTTCTACAGAGGACTTTTAGGCCTGAGGGCAATATATAATATGTAATAATGAAGTTGTAGCTCCAGTAAGGGGCTCCAAACAGCCAGCACCACGTTCATCGACTAATTCCTTCTTTGCGCATGCCTCGGCTGCTGCATAGCTCGCAGTTCGGATCGTGTCCGACGAGGCCCATCGCTCTCCTGGGTGTCTTACTGAAAAGAACCCGAAGAACCCTGACTCGAAACCGGAACATTGAAGGGAAGACGAGCCGTAGCCAGTGGGGGGTAACGTTGAACTACCATGGCTCGGCATAGAAAAGCTTGACGAAAAGATCGCTGTCGTTCCTCCTGAGGTGGGCACCGGACTTGGCATCGCACAATTTCTGATGGGCTTCATGACTACGCAGACCTTTGTCTTGCTCCACGGCTTATTCTATGCTGATTCCTGATAGGCCCAAAAGCTTCTTCGACACTTGCGCATGTATCTGAATTTCAACTCACACTTCACAAAACAGCCCAGCACAGGGGCTTAGGGTTTAAGCTTAGGTCCCAATACTGCCCCACCCGAATGATACATGCCAGCATGCCGACATAGAAGCCCTGCTGCTGGCCAGCTGAACTGAGATGCACATTGGTGACGGGCCATGGAAAAGAAGCCAGCAGTCAGAATCGGACATTGCATTCTTCAGTGGGTGTTGCAACAGCAACAACGGCTGCCAATTCCTTGAACTAACAACAAGACGTCCCCTCACGAGAGGTCCGAAGCCGCAAGCCCTCGTGAGAAAAGCTTCAGGTACGCTAAAAGGATCTTCTGTCTGAACAAGGCTAGGGTTTAGGGTGTCTGGGTTCGAAAAAGGGTCTAGGGTTCTGCCGAGTGAGGGTTAAGGCGCCCGAAAGCCCGAGGCCCGGACCCCAGTTCCACCAGGTTCTTGCTCAGAGAGTCCGATACCCCTTAAACAAGGAATACCATCAGAGCCCAATATCCGAATAAATATTTCCAAACCCTAAACCTACCAAAACCTCCTTCTTGTGTAAAATTCCTATGAAATTTCCAGAGCAGGGTTGACAACAAGAGCCTAAACAAAAAGTCGGCTATGGCGGTATGGTAGCTTAAGGTTTTGCACCCTCAACTGTGATCTCAGGTCGGTGATGCCTGGCCGCTTGGTTGCTCTCGGAATATGGGGGCTACCTACCTCCGGGTCCTCCATCAAGCTTCTAGGGTGTAGTGTCTCAATCAGGGGTTTAGGGTTTGAGGGCGAAGGGGTTTGCCATATCAGAGATGATGGGCTTAAACTTGGAACGCGACCCTGCAAGATCACTTTTGGCTCCAACCATCAAGTCTGCATAGTGGGCAAATCAGCACTTTATTTGCTGTATAAGAAACTAGGAAATTCAATGGAGCCTTGTTCTAAGAGATCCAGAGTGAAGAACCTTAGAAATGCAGATTTCTCAGGGTTCAGGTAGGCTGCGGGGATAAGGGCTGGCCTCAGGAAAAGTGTGCCTCTGCGCCCTCCCTGTCTACGCGGCTACGAACTTCGAATGCGACAAGTGGCACGCGGGAGTGTCTTTGGGGCTTTGGGGGCTTAAAGGTTTAGGGTTCAGGGTTGAAGGTTCAGGTTTGAGGGTTTAGGATTTAGCGTTGAGAGTTCGGGTTTCAGGGTTGAGGGTTTAGGGTTTGGGGATTTGGGTTTAGGGTTTGGGGTCTTCGGTTTAGGGTTTAGGGTTTACAGTAGTAGAAGCCCAAAAGTTGGAAACCCAAGAGCGTCAATCCTTAAGAGTATAATGTATAGGGAATCCCAGCGCCAGTTGTCCTTAATCCGGTTTCCAATTTTTTGTGGGGTTTACAGGGTTTAGGAATTAGGGCTTTAGGGTGCAGGCTTCAGGGTTGATGATCGCTTGTCGGAGTTTTTGTGCTATCGGCGCAATCTCCTAAGTCGCCCAAGGTTCCCCCAAACCCTCAGCCTTTAAGGCCCCCTAAACCCTAAACCCTAAACCCTAAACCCTAAACCCTAAACTTTAAGGCAGGTCTTCTGGCTTCCCCGAAACCTGAAGGCCCTGAACCGGAAATCCTCCGCCTTCTGCGCCAGTTCCCACATCCTGAAGCCTGAAATGCAAGATGTTGGGCGGCACGATGGAAGGACCAGAGACTGTAAACACATCCTGGAACCCAGGGAGATGCCAGCTATGAAATATGTTAGTAACATTAGTATTGGTGACAAGAATAGGCAGAATCATAGGAACCCCAATCATCACCACCATCATACTCATAGAACTAGTATCAAAGATAAGGAGAACAAAACCCGCCGCACTCAGACCCAAGCCTTCAGTCGGGAAGGGGAACCGAGTGGCATGTCCTAAACCCAAGCCCTGCAACCCTCGAACGCCTTAAGTCCAAATACGAATCCCTGAGTTAATTCTCTCTGAAACCCTCAAGGCCTTGAGCCCAAAACCCTGAGTCCCTCAAGCTAAGTGGGAGGGAAAAAAGCCCCTCAAGCCCTTAAGCCCAAAGCTCCAAAGCCCTCAGAATTAATCGGGCCGGTCTGTCCCTCCCCGGCCGCTGTCGTGTCAAAGAGACGCTGCAGCTTTGCGATGCTTACATTAGGTTCAGGGCTTAGGGCTTAGAGTCTGGGTTCAAATAAGAGACTCAGTATCCCTAATATAGGGGCCTGAATAATTAGAATAGGGTTTTGGGGTCCTTGATAGTATAATAGTCATAATAAGGAATCTCCTCAAATAATGTAGGCAATTATTGCGGCCCCTATATTCGGGCTCCAGTTACCTAGACAGTATGGGTTCAAATATTATGTGCCCCAGTAACCTATTATTGAGGTGACTGGAACCTTGGTAATGCATCCTCGAAGCCTGATGCCGACGGATCGTCGCAGCCAGGAGTCATTCTCCTAGGCCTGGAAAGCCCGAACCCTCCCCGAAACCCTAAACCCTAAAACCCAAACCCTAAACCCTAAACCCCAAACTGTTAACCCTAAACCCCAAACCCTAAACCCTAAACCCTCAAGCCCTAAGCCCTGCAACCTTCAAGCCTGAACGCCCTAAGGATGTACTTCATCTACCTGTACCGTGGTACCGCCGTCCCTCTGGTCTTCCACTCCAAGCACTCGCTTTCTATGGTGCAGGACCTGCAAGCTGCCGATTGGTCGGTTTAGGGTTTAGGGTTTAGGGTTTAGGGGTTTAGGGTTTAGGGTTTAGGGTATACGGTGACTATAAGGGGCCTGAACAATTACCAACACTATATTTTGGTTATTTTGGGGTTCCTGGTCGTAATTAAATACAATCTTTAACGAACTATAGCATAGCATCCCTCAAACACCCTAAACCCTGAACCCTAAACCCTAAAACATCCCTCAAACACCCTATTCCAAGTCCACGGGCTGGTTCGTTTGGGGATGTTCGTGCGTTTTTTTGTCTAAGCGCCTCGGGCTTGAAGAGCTTTCGCTTACACTTAGCATCAAAATAGCCCAAAAGCCTTATATAATAGGGTCTTTGGGCCCAAAAGCCTTAAAATAGACCCCTGAATTGGTGATACTGCTGATGATATAAATCTTGCATTTCTTTAAGGACCCTAAGCTATGGGAATTATGGTATATTCCTTGTAATGGGTACTGTAGGATTTATAACATCAATCAGAATTTGGGATTCAGAGTCTGTACCATGCTTATGGTTGTGGTTCTGGGCTTGGGGTGGTGTTTACAGGGCTTCGCACTCTAGCATCCGCGTGTCGATAATTGAGCTTGCGCCGGGGTGTTCTAATTATGCTGAAGGCCCTTACATTATACGTACACTTGCGAGTCAGGGGCTGGGTTTTAGGGTTGCACAAGAAGGATGCTAGGGTCGAGGGCTTAGCCCTTGGGGTTTAGGCTTTTGGGGTTTAGGGTTTAGGTAATCCCCAATTAAACCCTAAACCCCCAAGCCCATTTTGCCTTTGGCGGTCTTAGATGTATGTTGCAGGTTGAGGTCGTCCCCGTGGGGTTGTTTTATTCTGGCGGAGAATGCCCCAGATAGCCCTTCTTGCCTCTAGTTTGGGGTCATCAGGGCTCCTGATCCAAACCTCTTTGCCAAGCTTTAAGCGTTTCAAACCGAAAGCTAGAAAGGTTTCAGGGTTTAGGCTCACGATGTAAAGACGTTCCCAGGTGGTCATCGGGCAGTGCGTGTCCATCCGTGCAAACGGCATGCTGGACCCCTCCTCAGCATACATGTAGCCGCATGTGAAAACTCAGTCGAGCTATTTCCCAGAGTCCTAAAACAAAAACTGCGCAGTCCCTGTATACTGGCATTGTTTTCCATATCGACCTCAGTATCTCAAGCGCAACCCCGCCATAAGCCGGTTCATGTTTAACGAGTCAATCTCCGAAATTATTTCAGTTCGGTGGGCATAGTCGAGATGTATAGCAAATACCGAGTTTCCTCATATAGTGGCGTCTTGCTATTAGGCTCCTTTCAACAAGAACCCAGTAGATTGTAGGAGTTGCCTTGTCAGGCGCCCCCCTCAAAGGACCCTCTCACGGCAGCATGTGTGCGTCTCCTCCCCCGCTCTTGACACAAAGCAGATGTTGAGCAATTAGCATGAAGATCCCAAGCACGTACCCAACGGGGCATTTGAACATCACTGGAATGTCATGAGTATGGGTGCGGCTCCACTGTCTCGCCCTGCTGTTGGACAGCCCTGCAAACCGTAGTAAGACTCTTCCAGCACCCTGCAGAACTGATCTTCATAAGCCGCACAAAACCCTAGAGCTCCCTGCAGAGCACACCAGGCAAAGGCACAAACGCTTGTGTCCATCTCTCCTTGCAAGCCACATCCTAAAGCGAGCTGTGATGGAGACAGACCTTGAAAGGGCAAATGGATTTTCAAGGCCTACTTTGTGATCTCCGTGCTCAGACAACTCATGGTAGTGAAATGAAGGAGCCTTTTAGATGAGTAGGCCTGGAACCCCAAATGCCCTAAATCCCAACCTACAGCCCTGAACCCTCGAGAATAGTATCGCTCACCTGTTCGACACCCTAAATTTATTAAAGCTACACTGTATTGAAAACCTTGCCCCATATAAGCCCTACACCGACCTGGAATCCCCGTTCGACGAAGGAGAGCTTTATGCTGCGATACAACCACTACTCGCAGAGCGTGATCCGGTCCCAGTGGCACGGCTAAGAGGAGCCAGGGCCTATAGGGTTTGGGTTCCGGGCTTAGGTTTGCCTTGTAATTCATATTATAGCCTACCTTTTTAGGTGGTCTAGGGTTTGGGTTTAGGGCTACCTGAACCCCAAATAATAGCCTAATACAACCTACATGTTTTAGGACGTGGATAACTCATGATAAGGAACCCTAGGAACTGCACGGGAGAAAGGTCTCGTCGAGTACATTCGGTGCCAGGGTGGGCTAGGTCGTTAAGTGCTTGCTCCTTTCACGGCTATAAAAATCCAGGTGTCAAATACGTGTAGACCTGAATTTAGAACAAATCCCCCGTGCATGTCCGAAGTAGTTTCAGATTGCATCTAACCAGACTCAGCCAGACTCTGGACCCTAAGCCCTAAAACCCTAAATCCTAAACTCTAAACCCCCTAAACCCCAAACCCTAAACTTTCAACCCTAAACCCCTAAACCGTAAACCCCTAAACCCTAAACCCCTAAACCCTAAACCCCTAAACCCTAAAAAAAACCCTA